TACCTCTCCCACAAATACAAGTGTCTCCTTAGAAAAAAAAAAGACGATCGGTGACATTAAAGATTCTACACTTCTCTAGGTTTGTCAACGAGTGTATATATATCATTAAAATTTATTTTTACAGTCCATATTGCGATGAATGGCTCATAATTGGCGAAAGCCATCGGTTTGGCCATTTTAATCTCCAGACCACTCTACTATTGTATTAGACTGAATTTAGGTGTATGCATTTTTTATACAATCCCAGAAGCGTGTGTCGATAATTCTTTCAAAATACCCATTTCATCTTTTCAATAGAAAATTCAGGGTGTATAAGACATTATTTTCACTTTTTCTATTTCCACTAGTATAAAAGAATTTGCATAAACTCTATATATTAAATATCATATTTACATAATGCATTAGAGAAAGGGCCATCTTTTATTTTAAAAATCCAAACTATTTTACACTCGTATTTTATTTTATATTACGATGCACTAGCGCGCCATCTGTTATGAAAATTAGAAACTATTTTAGACGCGAAAGATTCTTTTTGAAATTAGACAATTTCTACTGCCCTTACTGCAATGGAAAAATTAAAAATGAAAATGGAAAAATGCAATATAACGGCGGTATTGTAGATTAAACTGGCGAAACCGCTGGGAGGGTTCACCACTGATGAGCCAGGCCCTCCCATTAATTTTTTCCATTGCAGTAAGGGCAGTAGAAATTGTTTAATTTCAAAAAGAATCTTACGCGTCTAAAATAGTTTCTAATTTATTTTATATAAATGTTCTTACCGCAAAGATAAATTATTTTATTACTGTGTTAAAGAAAACGAAAATATTGCGCTACAAATATTAAAAAATAAAAATACAAAACCTTTCGCAATGAGTTTCTTTTATTATGATATACGCGAGCTTTCGGGCTGGAGCCGCCCTTCTACAGGCAAAAATGAACTATTTGATTTTTTGAGAGACAGTTATATACATTTAATTTGTTACAAGTTTTACATATATATATCAGAAAGAAAACTATTAAATCTACATATATTATTACTATACATAAATTATTTGTCGTTGAAAAGAAACTCATGCGGTGTAACTTCTAGTGTCGTTTTACAATCACAGGCCGCAGTATATTATATTGTATTATAAGTTACTTTATGTATCATTTACGAACGGAAAAATACGTCCAGGGTAGCCTAGTGGACATGGCATCTGCCCGGTAAGCGGAACATTGTGGGTTCGATTCCCATCCCTGGACACTTTTATTTTTCCGTTCGTCATTACTCTTCATAATTCATCCTTTCATACCTCATGCAAAAAGATTAGAAATAGTCAATATTTCACCTTGAAATAAAATTTTAATTTGTCGTTGAAAAGAAACTCATGCGGTGAAACTTCAAGTGTCGTTTTATATATTACTAGCGGATGTACCCGGCTTCGCCCAGGTTTTTCTCGAGGGAATGTTTGTAGTCTAGTAATAAGAAAATATACTACACCTAAAAACTATCAGAGAAAAGAGAAACCACGGAAGGTGAACAGAAAAATGCTTACAATGGATGTTATGTTTACGATATCAAGTTAAATAAAAACAAAGATAAAATTTGCATATGTTGGTCACTATAAATTTGTATATTTGCTAGGCGAAATTAGAAACATGATAAAACAATTGGGTATTTAAAAACAAATGTAGAAATAAAAGTTGAAGTATAATAAACAATGTTAAAGATTAGTTTTAATTATTAATCAAGATTGTGTGTGAATATGTGAGAAAGATGTAATATCGTTGTTGTTTTCTTGGCCGACTGTTTTACATATGGTGTTATCTTAAAATTGCTTGTTTTGAATATTTTTTAGATTGAGATTATTAGCTAGTATGTAAAAAAATTAACTCTGTTGAAATTTAATTTTGTATTTATATATAAATAAAATTAACTCTGTTGATTTTTTTTGTATTTAATCGATAACAGCGAAGTTACGCATGTTAATGTTAGGAAATATATTTTGATGTTAAGCAAAACCTGCTCCATCTCGTTTTACATAAATGTTGAAAATTTGGTTGAAATTGATGCATTGTAACGAAAGTTTTTAGTGATGTCCACTTATGAAATTTCCATTTTATTAATATAGATTACTATTTTACTATGTTTAATAATTGGAATGGAAATTAACCATTGGAATGGAAATTAACTGTCTCTCAAAAAATCAAATAGTTCATTTTTGCCTGTAGAAGAGCGGTTCCAGCCCGAAAGCTCGCGTATATTGTAATAAAAGAAACTCATTGCGAAAGGTTGTATTTTTATGTTTTAATATTATTACTGTGTATGTGTGCAGTAAGATAGCAGTATAAATTGTTTTATTTCAAAAATAAACATACACATCAAAAGTATTTGAATTGTTTACATTTCTATCTGATATATGTCTTAAACTGGGGTAAATGGCAGATGATGTTTTCTGGGTAGGATTGATAAGTCGACCTTAGCAACACTTCCATAAATATCTTGAAAGGGCAGATGTTCCTGGAGCTCCCACCTGGCAACACTGCTACACCAAGGACCATCTAACAGAAAACATCTATGCCGGCAATCTTTTTTTTACCCCTAGTACACGTGATACGGGCATCCATGATAATCATGGTGGGTAGTAATTGGCAACTGCTTATACTGTAAGTATACCACATATCGACATAGGTAGAATGCAGTTCGACCTTTGCACTTAAAAATATGCCAGATCCTCCTTTGGTTATTTGCACTCACTAGTGGGGTTGGACTTTTGCAAGAATCGGGGGCGTTGTATCAAATATTTTATTCAGAAAAAAAGTGTCCAATTTGGTATTCATTCCCGGGTCGTGACTGTCGGAAATAGACGGTTATACCACTCCTCCAACTATCACCCGATTATTGCAATAGTCCAACCACAGCAGTGAGTGCAAGTAACCAAACATTGCACTGGCACACTTTTAAGTGCAAAATTCAAACTGCTTTCTACATATGTAGATATGTGCTGGACTTACCGTAAAAGTATTCACTAACTACCCAGGGAGTCGGTGGAAGGATGGTTTAAACCGTTGATTTTCGACCGCTACGACCCAGGTTCGATTCCCGCATTGGGAACTTATTTATGATTTTAAAAATAATTCTCCAATGGCCCCCGATTCTTGCAAAAGTCCAACCCCATCAGTAAATGCAAGTAACCAAATGAAGCTCTGGCATACTTTTAAGTGCAAAAGTTGAACTGCTTTCTTCATGTGTCGACATATGGTGCACTTACATTAAAAGCAGTCGCCAATTACACTCACCATTGGGAATAAATAAATAAATACAAAGATTGCATATAATGGTTATCTAATCCTATTTTACATATATACATATACAAATTTACATATGTACATATTTAGATAATAAAAAAAGCATATATTGGATTGAATAAAAAGAGTTTTTTTCTAATATTCTGGTTAGCTGAACGCCAATATTTGTCAAGGTATAACAACATATTACACTAGCAGTCAATAAAGTTGTTACATAACTGCCTATATGTACATATTTCTCTTCTTACTTTGTAAATTCCAATTTCTTTCCCTTTCTACATTTTCCACATCTTTTATGTATCAGGGGATTCTGTATATAAGTGTGAAATGTTGATAAAAAAGTTGTATTGATTGACATTATTGGTAAAAAAACTCAGCTTTACAATAGTGGAAGACGACACCCTAGAAACAGATGGCCACCTACACCTTTCGGTCTATAAGCCGGCATGCGAAGCATGCCCTTTGCTGCTATCTTGTTCAACTCATAAGCCAAGTAACGGTATCCAAGCTAGTGGTTGGACATTGTACCTGGAAAAACCACCTCCCAGACAACTTGTCTGGAAGGATTTCTATTAAAATTACAATTATATTCTCACAATGAGTATATTTTTTATTTAAAAAACGCGGCGCGCGTTTGTGTTTTGAAAATATTTCTGGTGGGATCAAGTCGATATTATTGTAAGCCCGTTGAAGAGCGATTAACGCTTGAAAGCTAGCGTTTTTTAAATAAAAAAGATACTCATTGTGAGAAAATAATTGTAATTTCAATACTTTTTCACAATTTTATCATGAACAAGGATTTTTATAACGGTGGTCTTTAGTCACAGCAAAATAGAAAACTCTCTACTGTGTAGTGGAAGACGACAGGGGAAATATATTGAAAAAGGACAATAACAACTTAACCTTGCCCTAAATAACTTAGTTCGACCTCCCAGTTTCCATCTAATAAAGCCGTCCAAGTTAGCAGACCTACCAAGAAGGTCTTTGATATACAAATGAGATTTCCATTCTTGCTGATCCTACATGGCTTATATATTAGATGGTATAAGTAAATTAGGGTTAGGAAGATTTCGTTTCCTTCTTACAGAAATTGGCTTCGACAGAAATTGCTGTCTCAACCATTTCCAATGATTTATATATATTGGACCTATATTAGTCGAATTTATTAGGATTGCATTTATATATATTCAATATAAATTATTTATTATATTTCCGTTTATCATTACTCTTCACAATTCATTCTTTCATACTTCATCCCTAAGGTTAGAAATAATCGTTATTTCTCCTTAAAATAAATTTCGATTTTTTTGTTCAAAAGAAACACATGCGGGATATTCTCTAATGTCGTTCTACAATTATAGACAGCATTATTTTGTATAAAAATCACTTTATATAATATTTACGAATGGAAAAATATGTCCAGGGTAGTCTAGTGGACATGGCATCTGCCTGGTAAGCGGAACAATGTAGGTTCGATTCCTATCCCTGGACAATTTTATTTTTTCGTTTATCATTACTCTTCACAATTCATCCTTTCATACTTCATCCCTAAGGTTGGAAATAATCGTTATTTCTCCTTGAAATAAATTTCGATTTTTCGTTCAAAAGAAACACATGCGGGATATTTTCAAATGTCGTTCTAACAACCATAGGCCGCATTATATTGTATAAAAATCACTATATATAATATTTACGAACGGAAAAATATGTCCAGGGTAACCGAGTGGACATGGCATCTGCCCGGTAAGCGGAACACTGTGGGTTCGATTCCCATCCCTGAACAATTTTATTTTTCCGTTTATCATTACTCTTCACAATTCATCCTTTCATACTTCATCCCTAAGGTTGGAAATAATCGTTATTTCTCCTTAAAATAAGTTTCGATTTTTTATTCCAAAGAAACACATGCGGGATATTTTTCAAATGTCATTCTACATTTATAAATTCAATATTGATTTTTCTACTGTTATCTTGTATAGGTTATCTTGTATATATTATTTGACGAGTTTAATATTTGTTTTTGACTCGCGCTTTAGATGTTGTACTAAATTCGAAAAATCACGTGAGAACGCCCTTGCAACCTCAGAACAATTTTTAACGCCTTGCCAAATGCTTTATTTTTATTTACTTCTCCTGACGATGACAAAAGATTTTTGTGGAAACGTTGAGAAAATAAAAAACTCCAACTGGCGGAAGTGTCTATTTTTTATATAAATCTTGTATAGGGTTAACTGTTCTTTATTTACTTAAATTTGTACATTTACTCAATATTGACCTTTTCTCTTTCTCCCCTATCTCAAGTAAAAAATCACCGCTTTGTTTTTAAACATGAAACAACTAAATCCATCAACCCCCGTCATACGAGCAGTGGTGAAATTCGAGAATATAAAAAACCGAAATATTAAAAATTGTTTATAAAGTCTCGAATTTAAAACATTAAAAACCTTTTTTTCTGCGAAAGATGGTATTTTAAAAAAATTACACTTGATATTATATACTAAACAATTCTCTAGGTTGCTCTTTTTGAGCGTCGTGCACCTAACAGAGTTATTTGGGAACTGGAAACAAATCCTTTTTTAGATATATTTTTTCAAAGTATAAAAACTATCTACATTTTCACAAGATTCAAATATATGTTTCAAGTTTTTATAAAACTTGTTATTAAAAATAAGTCGGTGGATGATAGGGTAACACGCTCGATTCCCGATAAAAGTCGGTGGATGAGTGGGTAACACGCTCAATTCCCGACCGTCATGAACCGGAATTGAATCCCGCGTTTAAATTTTGTTTAATATGTGAATAACTTTCACATATATTATTCACTGTTTCAATTATCATGAACTAGGTTGCTCTTGCTGAGCGGTACCTATTAATGTGATTTTGAACCAGAAAATTGTTATTAATAAATGTGAAAAATAACAAAAAAGTTGAATTGTATCAGGGGAATAAATTAAGAAAAAAAGGCATCTCCTGAACGTGCAACTCAAGGTTCCTGATAGCTTATGCCATCTATCGGAACAAATCGTTGATTTTTTAATATTATTTCATAATTAATAATTAATATTTAAATGTAATTCTACTGTCCTATAAGCTTATGTCCATAATTTTCTTGAAAACAATTTCTGAGATTCCATCCTTCAGTGCTGCGTATATAAGCAGAATCGTCCATTACAGTATTAGAGCTCTTAGAAGCGGTCTGGTGGATTAAATGGGCGAAACCGCTGGAAGGGTTCACCACTGATGAGCCAAGCCCTCCCAATATATTTTTTCATCTCAGTAAGGGCAGTAGAAGTTGGTATTTTGTATAAAAGAAACATTCGTGCTTTTAAATCCTCTCATTTTATAATTTATAATGTAGAACGACATTTCAAATTTTACCAGCATGTGTTTCTTTTGAACGAAAAATCGAAATTTATTTTAAGGAGAAATAGCAATTATTTTTTACCATTAGGAATGAAGTATGAAAGGATGAATTGTGAAGAGTAATGATAAACGTAAAAATAAAGTAAAAGAAACCGGGATAAATGTCGTTCTACAATCATAAGCAGCATTATATTGTATTATAAATTAATAATGTATTAATAAAGTTTCTTTGATTGTCCTAAACTTAAAAAAAAACCTGTACGAAGGTAAAGCCGGAACTAGATGGAGAGTCGCGTTTTAAAAATGAATTGATTAGTAATGGTAATGATTCATTAATAATTCACAGAATAATTAGCATTCTTTATTATATTGACTTAGGCTGTGTGGGTTTAGCTCCTTCTTGGAGTCGCCCTTAGATTCTCACAGATGAATTCTGTAATCACTGAACAGTCGGTTGGAAACACCAGACACATAAGAGCTCAGAGATCTTCCATTTTAAAGAAGCCGACTTAATGAAACAACAAAAGCTAAAATTGATAAAACACAATTTGGTGTTTAGATCCAACCGCCGAAATGTCACACACTATTATTTGTATTAGGTCTTATTTTCTTGTAGCTAAAAGCTTAAATTGTTTACAGTACATGAGACCATAGTCTTAAAACATGGCTAAATACGGTTTCTTAGTCTGTAATTGGGTCTCATCAGTAAATCTGTTTCGATTCAAAGATTTCTCATGACTTAGTCTGACATGACAAAGTCTTTACTAAGAGATTACCTCGGGGAGAGTCATGGTTTTGCTATGTTTTCAAGCTATGGTCTATAATAAGAGACTATCACTTACAGTTCATCTGGTTACCTTCTGGTAGATTTCTAGACCTATTTATAACCATCTCATTGCAGGGATTCCTGTTGGATCGTTTTTGAAGATAACTCTCAGATTTATAAAATTAATTTATTAAACTTTAAATAATTTTTATATAGAGAGAGAAACACACACACACGAGTTAATTACCTCGTATTTAAGACAAAAAAAAATCATCTAAATTACATACATCGTTCTAACCAGATTCAACTTGTGCAAAACAGACAACAAAGAAAATAAACAAATTAATAATAGAGGGTAAGTTCCTATTTTTTACAAGCTTTCACACTCAAAGAATAATCATTTTCTTGCTTCACTTCCTCTCTTCCGACCATATATACCGACCATATTAACGCATCGACCACACCTCCCTGCGGTCCCCCCCTGGACCCTTGGAATATTCGACCAAATTCTGGTTCGTTTCCAAGGTGACTAACGTGGCAACGGCACCCATTTTCCAATGAAGAGCAAGTGGATATTGCTGCTGCTGTGTTGGAGATGCATGGAGACATCTGAGACTCTTCTTTGGACACGACAACAACAACATATTAACACATGTATTAGACAAGGCATTATAAGTGGTAGATTAAACTGACAAAACCACTGGAAGGGTTCACCACTGATGAGCCAGGCCTCCCATTATTTTTATCATTGCAATAAAGACAGTAGAAAGTTGTTTTATTATTATTATCCTTAGTACACGTAGTACAGGCCATGATAATCATGGTAGGTAGTTATCGACTGCTTTTACTGTAAGTGCACCACATGTCTACACATGTGAAAAGCAGTTCGACTTTTACACTTACAAATGTGCCAGAGTCCCGTTTTAGTTACTTGCATTCGCTGGTGGGGTTTTCAAATTAGAAAAATGTGTCCAATGCGTGATTCAACCCGGGTCGTAGCAGTCGAAAACCAATGGTTAAGACCATCCTTCTACCGACCTCCAATAGAAAGTTATTTTATATAAAAATATTTATAACAGATGGCGCACATCTTATGTATTACAGTAGATAAGAGATTACCTCCAGCAACAAAAACCCGAACAAAATATCAACATCGTTTCTGTGGTTTATTTATTCTTTGATATTGTGGCGTAGAAATCAAGTCTTAGTATATCTTAAGATGTAAGTGTATTTATTGATGACGTCAGTACGACAAGTCGACAATTATCAACAAAACTATCTACAGCTAGGGGAATCTTGAACAAAGCAAGCAAAAAAATATTTTAAAGATGATTTTACAAATACAGAGTAATATCAAAAATAAAAATGGCATATCCTGCTCAAGAGCACATGTGCTTTACAGAAGGCAGAACGCCATCTGGTGGAACAGAAATCAACTAATCATTGATTTAACCTGTTCCCTGATATTTGGCCAACACAATTTCTTGATAAATCAAGAAAAGCCATCCATTTACGCAAGTTTGGCCTTAAATACCCATTTCTTGGTTTTTCAAGAAGCCTCTAGACCAAAAAAATATTTTTGGTCGCAGTGGTACAGCCTATTCCACGCTGACGAGCGCCAAAAAGCGCGAAACGCGTTCGTGGATGGCTTTTCTTGATTTATCAAGAAATTGGGTTGGCCAAATATTAGGGAACAGGTTAAATCAATGTTTAGTTGATTTCTGTTCCACCAGATGGCGTTCTGCCTTCTATAAAGCACATGTGCTCCTGTTCAGGATATGCCATTTTTATTTTTGATTTCAACACTTGATCTTTTCATCTTTTATTTTTTCTTTCATCTTTTCACAGAGTAATATCTATTTTCATAATCTGTTGAATATTTTCTCATTGAATAATATTAAAATGATAAATCATTTATTCGCCACAATATAAATTATAAGGCAATAAAAACTCTAGATATTGAGTGGCAGTCTAACGGAAGTTTATGTTTCCATTGAAAGCCATTCAAAGCTACCATAATATGTACATCAGCTTGCATCCATTGATGTCATCTCGATACAAGAGATATTCAGATGACTGTGGGCTGTGACATTTTGGAACTGTCAATTTACTTGTCAACCCATTTAGAAACGCTGGAACGGTCAAATGTCTTTTTTTTTTTTACATTTTTGCCTGATATATTACCATGTTTTAGAATTACAAAATATTTTCTCACAATGAATTCCTTTTTATTTCAAAACGCTAAGAACTCTCGCAGTCCATCGGTGGCGGAGTCTTTTCCGCGGTGGGCGCCACCAATGAAGACCTTGTATATATATTTATATATATAATGTATATTTATCAATTATTTTATCTATTTATATCTATTTATTCATATATCTATCATTATTAATCTTATTTATTCATTTTATATATATATAATCTTATATGGACGTTATAATAAATCAGTTTCAATCTCAATCTCAAAACGTTAGCTTCAAGCGATAATCCCTCTTCAACGGGCTCAATAAAACATCGTCTATATCTTACAAGAAATATTTACAAAAACATACAGCGTGGATATTTACAAGTGAAATTTTAAATTGATATGTAATTTTATCAGGAATAGTACCATGTTTTTTAGTTCTTTTTGAAAAGTTGATTCGTCATTTTC